ATCGTGTGTGTGTGTGTGTGTGTGTGTGTGTGTGTGTGTGTGTGTGTGTGTGTGTGTGTGTGTGTGTGTGTGTGTGTGTGTGTGTGTGTGTAGGCAGGTGATCGAGGAGGCCTCTGCAGTGTTGAGGAACGCTGCAGGAAACTACTACGTGAACGATAAGTCGACCGGATCTGTTGTCGCTCAGCAACCGTTCGGAGGAGCCCGGGCCTCAGGTAATAACGTTTATAGTTCATTATATTATACCAAGAGAGAATACATTTAGATAAATAAAGTGTCACTAAGGAGCTGTAGATATATATATATATATATACAGATAGAGCAATATATATATGGATAGTGATATTAACAGATATACACATAGATATCTACTGACGTAAATATACCTGTAGATAAACAGATATATGGATATACAGATAATATAAGAATTACTTTATTGATCCCAATTTGGGAAATGATTGCATTGCAGCAGCATAAAAAGACATGGCGTTGTACAATAGAGAAATTAAAAGACAAGAAATCTCAAATAGAAATAGAAGAGCATCAAAAAAAGTAGAAAATATACATGTTGAAATACAAATGTACAGTAAACATGTAAAGCAGGATAGTATATAAACATTAGGTGTGTGAGGAATGGAATATTAAATATTACATTGAACATAATAATAATAACACATTGAATTTGTATGGCGCTTTTCCTAGTGCTCAAAGAAGCTAAACAATATAAATGTAAAATGTACAGTTTGATTTTAAGATATAGATGTATAGATATATAGATGTGTGTGTATATATCTATATATAACCCTAATGATCCCCCTCAGGTACGAATGATAAGCCGGGGGGGCCGCACTACGTCCTGCGCTGGACGTCTCCTCAGGTGGTGAAGCAGACTCACGTCCCCCTCACAGAGTGGAAGTACCCCTACATGAACTGACCAATCACAGCCCAGCATCTGATCAGCTGACCAATCACAGCCCAGCATCTGATCAGCTGACCAATCACAGCCCAGTATCTGACCAATCACAACCCTGGATTAGACCAGTCGACTAATCACAGCCCTGCATCAGATCAGCTGACCCTCTGAACACACGAGGGAAATGGAGCGCTCCCTGTGTCTCTTCCTCTGCAGTCTGATGCCCAACTTATGTTTAAAATACAGTTAGAGCTCAATTAAGACCAATAACAGCAATAAAATAACATTTGAGTGTTTTTAAATTCAAAATGCACTGATTCCAGCTCCTGGATGTTTCCTCCTCCTCTGATAAACTGGATATTGTTGTGTCTGGATGTGATTCATCCACAATGAAAATCATCATGAACACTGAAATAAGAATAATATTTTAGGTGAACACTGGAACATGACGAGTTCCTGTATGTTACGTCTCTAAACGCAAAGACACTGTCGTCTATGTGCGTTAGGTTTTCTAATAATTCAATAACTTTTATAGATCTGTGAGGAAGTTTCCTCTTGTTTGAGTTTGTGTCGCAGTGAAATGTGTCCCCTGATTTGTGTCGCAGTGAAATGTGTCCCCTGATTTGTGTCGCAGTGAAATGTGTCACAAGTTGATGATGTCATTATTTTTTCAAGGAGGGGTATTTTCTTCCGTCCTCAAACGAAAAGCAGCTGATTCACTTTATCTTCCGAAGGTGCCTCTGTAAATTCAGATATTTAATTTTGACAATAAATATTATTAACGTCTGTGCGTCCTCCTTCTTTCCGTGCTTCCTCTATTGCCCTGTGTAGCTGCAGCTTTTAAACACTGATCTAAAAGAACTTAAACATAATCACAAAACATCTCATTTCTCAAGAGTCAAAACCGTTGTTGAGTTTCAAAGATGATTCTTCAATTTCATTTTAAGTCATAAAATACTTATGAGTGATGTTTGGGTCATTAGAGCACTGTCTTTCCCTGCAGGTGAGTAAACTGAGGGAACAATCAGACTGAATGAACACAACACAAACAAAATATGATATTCTTTCATCTTCTTCTTCGAGTCCGTAGCAATCTCAGATGTCGTTCTGCCAGTATCGGGCACAGGCCCCAGCTGATGGGGGAGGTTCTGCCAGGTCTTCTGGACTGCACCGGGGGGCTTCGGCACATTCCAGTAGGTGGGACGTTGTCTGCACTGATCCACAGCTGCACGTGTCTTCTGTGGTGTAGTTCCACACTTTCCTCAGTGCTTTGCACCTCCCCTGTTCCACACGCAGTCTATTAAGTGACTTCCAGGTTGTCCAGCCAAGGTCGTGGCCACGAGCGAGGCTTTCCGTTGGTGTGACTCCTCTGTCCAGCCATTCAAGAGCTCGTGTGTCATTCCTTTGCCATCCATCTTCCCAGATGTTGGTCCTTGCTGCTTGTTTGGTTGTCTGGAGGGACTGTCTGCACAAAACTGGCTCTGGACCGGAGCCTGCGTGGGGGTGCTACGTGGCCATGCAAGGGGTGTCTGATGTCTGTCTCCTGTGTTCTCCGTTCATCTTGAGCGATACCTAGTCGTCTGATGTGCGGGGGAGAGATGCCGGCTAGCGCGTAGAGGCACGGGACAGCTGTTGTCTTAGCGCATCCCATGATGCGGCAGGTGTCATTCAAGGCTGT